ATCGCCGCAGCTGCCGCAGACTGAACGGCCGCTGTCTGCTGCGGGCAGGGCCCGCTGCGTCTGCCGAGTGCCCCGCATTACCCAGTTTACGGGTGACGGCCCTGAAGCTGGGAAACCGCCTAACAACCCGTCTCTCCACTGTGCCAGGCCACCTCCGGCTGGCCGTTCTCGGGGGACACAGGGTGGGTGGACCACAGGGGTGGGGGCAAGGGTCCTGGAGGCAAACGTCTGAGAGGAATGTGAGCAAGGGAAAGGGAATCCAAGAGGGAGGGGGTGGGGCCCGAGACAGGGAAGAGTGTGGCTCCCGCCCCCCCGCACCCCCTCCGCTCAGTCTGCCCCGCCTCCCACTGCCCCCGCGAAGCCCCGTCCTGACTGCTCTGGGGCCCATCCCGGGCCTCACTGTGTCCTCACACACAGCACCCTGGTCCCAAGGGGGCAGCAGGTACATGTGACCCTTGAATCAACGCTTACGTGTTCTTGTCTGATGAGGTCAATGCCACCAGCTCATAGATCTGGGGTGGGCCCAGCTCGGACGTGCAGATGATGAAGAAGGCCCGCTTGTCTATGTGACGAAGGAAGGGGAGAGGGTGTGTACTGGGCTCGGGACACTGTGCAGCCCTGACCCTCACCACGACGCATGCAGCATGAGACGGGCCTGAGTCGTCAGAACCCCTTGGGACCTCCTTATGAAAGGGACAGAGACCGTTCCGGAACCCCTAACGGGCTCTTCCACGGCCACCCATCACCCTCCCGCTCCCCCAACAGCGAGGGCTGACGTGCGTGGTGCCTTGAGTTTGTGACAGTTCTCACACCCATGTCCCTCTGATCCCCAGAAGCAGGGCGGGGGTCGCCCCACGTTCCAGACGATGAGACTAGGGGACGCGGCTGCTGGGTCCTGCTGCAGAGCCTGCCCTGCACACCGCCCACCCGTCGTCCTGCCGCAGGGGGCCTGTCCTGCTGCCCTCTGCCCCCAAAGCCCGTTCTCCCTGACCCTGGCCCACCCTGGGGGCTCGTGTCCTGGCTGCACCAGGTCGTCCGTCTTCACCTGGTCCCCATAAGCCCATCGTCCTGCCCCAGCTCGTGCCGCATCCTCTGCTTAGATGGGCCAGGACGGGGGAGGGATGCAGGCAGCCCGGGAAGTCCCGTAGGACCCCAGGCCGGCCCTACGCAGCCCAGTGCCTGCTGGACACGACCGCCAGGGACCACGGCCCGGGCCAAGGCTGGGCGGGCCCGTCTCCTCACGGCACCTGTGGCCACGGAGCGGACCAGCACGGCGTTGAGCTTGAGCACGGGGCTGAAGGTCTGCTTCCCGTCCGCGGCGCCCGCGGCCGCCTTGCTGTGACACTTCAGCAGCAGCTTCTCATCCTGCTTCTGCAGCAGCACCAGCAGGTCCTCCAGCAGCAGCACGTGCAGGTCTGCGGGTGGCACCGGTGAGCGGCCTGCCGCCCCTGCTCCCTCCGCAGCGGGTGGAGCGAGAGGCCCTGGGACACCAGCCCTCCTGGTCCCCGTGTGAGGTCCCCGCGCGGTGACAAGGGAGCACGCTCGCCCACCATGCTCTAGATGGCCACCCAGCTCCTCGCCGCCCTTCAGAGCACAGGGCCCAGGGGCTCCCGGGACGGACCATCACCTGGGACAGCCGTTCCTGCGAACCCCCAGGCTGCCCCAGCCCCACCCCCAGCACACACCCAAGGTCTTATCCTTGCTGATCCGCCAGGTCAGGGGCCCCTCATGGATCATTCTCCTGGCTGTGAGATCCAAGCTCTGTTAAGAAGAAGCCATCCATCATCTATCCACCCCCCATCCCCCCATCATCCATCTATCCATCCATCCACCCATTATCCATGCACCCATCATCCACCCATCATCTCTCCATTCACCCACTCATCATTCATCTATCCATCCATTCATCATCCACCCCCCATCCATCCATCCATCATCCATCTACCCATCATCTACCTATCTCTCCATCCATCATCTCTCTATCCACCATCTCTTCATCCACCCACCATCCACCCACCCACCCATCCATTAACCATCCACCCACCCACCCATCCATTAACCATCCATCCACCCACCATCCACCCATCATCTCTCCATCCACCCACTCATCATCCATCCACCCATCATCTGCCCACCCATCCAACCAACACCCATCCGTCATCCATCCGCCCACTCACGCACATATCCATTTATTCGACAAGTATTCGACAGCCTACTATGCATCAGACACCACGTGAAAGTGCTAAGAACCAGTGGTGACGAGAAATATTGCTGCCCTTACCCTCTTGTGAGGGACACAAACCAGTAAAAAGGCCACTGTGAAGTCACGTGTCCTGTGCTAGGGGATGTGCCGACGGCTCTGGCTTGGGTGTCTTACCCACCTTCCACAGCGCCCTCTGCCTTCCCAGCTCAGCCCCGCAGCTGGTTCCCTCCCGAAACAGCTGCACCTTCGCCTGCAGTTGGTAGCCTGGCCTGCTGTCCCCCTGCATCTGTCCAGGACGGGTGGCCAGGGCGCCAGGGCCCACGACGCACCCTGCCCCATACAGCCCACGTCTCCTGCCCCGAGAACCCGCCTGCTCCTCAGGGCCCCAGGCGGGGTGTGTGCATGTCGGAGGGCTGACTGCTCCCCGCCTCGCACCTTGAACTCCGCGGCCAGGGGGTTGCTGGCCCTCTCCAGGGAGGTGGTGTCCAGGCGTTTCTGGTAGCCCTCCACACGGTGCCGGTTCTCTGTCTGCTTCACCGCCTCGTTCACGTACTTGAGAATCTCCCGGCACTGATCGCGGGCCCGGCATAGCTTCTCGTGCTCAGACGTGCCACCTGCCAGCCGGCGTAGAGGGGCGGCTTGGGGCTCCTGCCTGAGGAACCTGTCCAAGCCCTGTACCACCGGCCCCAAAACGGCAGGTACGGGTGAGGACCTGAGGACCGCAGTGTGAGGGTCCTCGGGGTGCAGACCGCTGCTGAGGACATGGGTGGCTCGTGGGACCTCTTGCCCAGGTTACAGCCAGCTCTACAGAAGTGGGCGACTGTGGTGTGTGCCCGAGGAACACCTGTCTATACACGTTGTAGTTCCTCGTACCTGTGTACCCTGGCTCCGACGTCGCAAGTTGAGGGTGGTGAAAGGTGCCCAGGACCCCAGGGACGGTGAGAACCGGGGACAGACCCCGTCGTTCCAAACGGGCCCTGCCCCTCCAGAGTTCCCACATACAGTGTGTCTTGGGGTCTGCAGAGGCCTTGGCCGGGGTGGCGAGGCAGAAATGTAGGCATGGCGCCAGGTGTGCGACCACGATCCTGGCCAGAGGCACCAAGGGGCCCCGCGGGCCAACCTGTCCCTCAAGGTGCCATCCCCTGCTCTGCACAGAAGCCCCGCACGGGCTAGAGGCAGCCCCCGCCTCCTGCCACCACTGACCACCCTACGCCCCACGCTCACTCCCGACTATCGTCTCTGAGCCTGACCACAGCAAGGCTAGCGTGGAGACCCTGGAGGCCAGAGGTCAGGGACTCGCTGGGGGGCCACATGGCAAGCCAGTGTGGATGGGGTCTGAAGTGAAGGTGCCGCCCTGGCCCGGCCCTACCCTCCGTGTGCTTGAGAATGCTTTCCAGCAGCAGTGGGTACTTGGTCAGCCGCTGCATCTCGGAGATGATGAGGTCTCGCAGCTGCAGCCGCCGGCACTGAGGGTGGCTCTCGGCCTCCTGGACACAAGGGCACAAAGGGGACGCCACTGTGGTCAGGACCGGTGGGGCGAAGCACCCTACAGGCCCTAGTCCCAGAGAGCAGTCTCCTCCTTGAATACGCAGAGGACGGGCCGTGGGGGGCAGGGAGACAAGGGCCCCAGGGAGGGATCTGGTGGGATGGGCCACTCAGAGCAGGAAGCGTTCCCATGTCGCAGACAGGAACAGAGCCACCTAGGTGCACAGGGGCTGACAGGTGAGCCAGATCCTGCGTCTTTCCCACCAGCAGGTGTGTGTCTCGAGGGCGGTATAAGTCAGTGTTTCTGGAGGGTGTTCAGGGTGTGTGTGTGTGTGTGTGTGGCGGAGTGGCTGCAGGGTTCTGGGCCTCCCTCGGGGAGGGGGCTGGGAGCCTGGGGGCGTCCAGGAGGGCTGGGCGGGCCTGGTCCGTGGAGCCCGCTGGCTTTGTCATGGGAGGCGGGGCGTGCTAGAGAGGCAAGGCCACGACGCACCTGCATGAACAGCTGGAACCGGCTGTCCTTGCGCTGCTTGGCCTTGACCAGCTCCAGGGCGGCTGACTGGTAGGAGCAGAACTGGGCGGCCACCCGCTGCAGCTCCTCTCGGGCGGGGCCGTCGAACTGGGCAGAGTGGACAGCAGCCCGGGCGTCACACGCCTGCCTGGACCAGCCTGGCTCCCCCCCACCCCACCGCCTCTGCGGGGAAGGCCGTGTGCCTGGTGGGGGCCTGCAGCGCACCCGGGCCAACATGAGGTCGCCGACTTCCCCGATGACAGGGCCCTCGTCCCGCAGCTTCTTCATGGCTTCACACCAGCAGTCTGGTGGGGGGACAGAGAGGCCTGCGGCTCAGCTGCACGGCCGGGCCCTGCAGCACAGACCGCGAGGGGCTCCGAGCCAGTGCTGGGGGGCGGGGAGGCAGGGGCTTCCCTCGCGGGGGCGCGGGGGCGCCGCGGGGCGGGGCTCACTGTGTGCCTCCATGAGCTCAGGCAGGTTGGGGAAGAGCCGGGCCAGCTCCTCGCGCGACAACAGGCTCTCCTTCCGCATGCGCTGGTAGAAGACCAGGTCCAGGACGCGGAGTGTGCGCACGTGCGAGGCCTCGGTCACGAACAGCTCTGGGCGGGCGGGGGGCACGCGGGGAGAGCACGTCAGCCAAGACCACGGCCGCTCCCGAGACCCCAACCCCTTTGCCTCCGGGGAACCAAACATCACCCTTCCTCTCACCCACGGGCCAGAACCGCAGCGGCCCTTTCGGATGGGTGGCACGAACCTGGTCCCGTCCCCAGGGCCACCCACTGACTCCCTGCCACCCCGCCCACGCCCTCACCGTTGATGACCTCCTGCCGGTCGACCTCCCTCTGGCTCAGCCCGGCCACCACGTCCTTGCCCACTGTGTGCTGCCAGTTTTGGGTGTCCGGCTCTGGCTCCAGGTCCGACAGCTGGCCCAGATCGTCCTCGAGGAGGTGGGGCAGGAGGACGTCGGTGCAGAACCCCAGGCTGGGGGACTCAACGCTCCTGGGGAAGACAGACGCTCGGCTTCACCCAGACAGAAGACGCGCACGTGGGGTTTGTCCCTCTGCCTCGGCCTCCCCCGCCTGCCCGTGCCCACGGACGGGAGGGACGGCCGCACACGGCTGTGGCGCGCCCGGCTCACCTGCGGCCCATTTTGGGGGTGAAGGGAGGGGTTGGGTTCTCCAGAGACCTGTGGGGAGAAGGCCGACGCTCAGCAAGCCCGCACCTGCAGCCCTGCTAGGCCGGGCAGCCAGAGCCCCGCGCACCTGGTGGAGAGGCTGGACGCGGAGGACGAGGCCGACTGGTGGAGGCGGGCGGCCTCGGCGGCGGCGTCCACGTCCACATCGCTGCGGGAGCGAGGCACGCTGTCTGTCTTCCGGGAGCGTGCCAGCTCCTCCCGGCCCTTCAGGCTCTCGGAGCGGCCCAGGCGGACCTCGGAACGCGAGCTGGGGGCGGCAAGAGGCCTCAGGCCCGTGTCCTGGCCAGCATCACCTGCTGCCATCTCAAGGGCGCCTCCATGGTGCAGAGGTCCCTCCTCAGGCCCAAATCCCTGGATTCACCAGACACCAAGGCTTCCTAGACGGCAGCTGCTTCTCAGTGACACGCTGCCTCCCTGCTCGTGAAGCCCCGTCCCCAGAGCGGGGCACAGGCCTGCTCAAATCCGGTGAGGGAGGCCGTGCCGCCCACGTCCCACATCAGGATGCCCGGCCCGGCCCGCAGAAGCTGCCGGAGGCAGGCGCTTCCTCTGACGAGGTCTCCCGTGAGGGAGAAAGGCAGTGTGGTCCCTGTCCTAGCCCCCACCACAGGGCTTGTCGGGGGGCTGGCTTGACACCCACCGTGTTTCCCCCGCTCTCGCCTGACACGCCCCTCCAAAGCCCCCGTTTCTCCTCCAGGAGCAGACGGTTTCCTGACGGGCACGGCCTGCGGGGTCTGGGGGGGACCAGGTGCTGGCGACGTGCTCGCCTCCAGTGCCGTGGCACGTAGGCCCTGAGACAGCCACGTGGCTGGACCTGCACTGCCCAGGACGCCCGCGGCTGGGTCGGGTCAGCCCTGGAGCTTGGTGAACACACGGAGCCCCCACACCCTGAGGCCCTGAGGGACCGTCTCTGGGGTTAGAAGCCACATGGCAGCTGACCCCCCCTCCGACGCCCCCACTGGTCTGGCAGAGCAATTCTAGTCCAGACGACTCCGGATGCCCCATGGGGTGCGTCACCCACGGCAGACCTCGGCCAGGGAGGGAAGCTGCTTGGGTGCACAGTGCCCGGAAGCGAGGAAGACGACCCACCTCTGGCCTGAGACTCCCAGCCCTGGGGCTTCCTGTGCCGGCCAAGGGCCCCCCACCTCCAGGGCCCCTGTGAGTGGGTCAGGGCAGATTCACCCAGACACTTCAGGAACACGAGTTCGCAAACAGCCTCAGACATCTTCGCAGGATGCTGCGCCTGCCAGACCCCGGCCACCGGGCCAGCGCCACCCTGCGTGCTAGCTCACCCATCCCATCAGAGGCCCCCGCTCGGCCCGGCACAGCGCTCACTCGCATCTGCCCTAAACCTCGGTGATCCTCATTTGGCAAAACCACTTGGCGCGTGTTAAACGTATCGGAAAGGAGTAACCTCGCGCTCGAGCAGGAGCGTCTGGCCTACGGTCTGCTACCCGCCCCTGTGGAGATGTGTGGCTGGCCCCGAAGGCCCCGTCCGGGGCACACGCGCACACTCGCGCGCACGCACGACCGCAGCGCTACGCCTCGGGGGTGGCCTGGGGAACGTGCAAGGACGTGAGCACTTCGCGCGAGTGCTGTCTGAACGTCAGGCATCGCCACCGTCACGACCAGGTGCAGCACCTGGGGAGGGCTCTACCTGCCGCCGGGGCAGAGACGGAGACTGGGAGGTGAGAGGCCACGGCCCTGCCTCCCGTTTGCTT